TAAGTGGAAGAATACCAAACGGAGTTCTTAACCTTCCTAGCTTGAGTGCTGTCTTGAATCTATCGAAAAACCTATTTTCTGGTCCAATCCCTCAAGATGTAAGTCGTCGCGAAAGCCTTGTGAGTCTAGATCTCTCTGATAACAAGTTTTTAGGCAACATTCCCTCATCTATCAAAGGTTGTCAGAGCTTGGAGAAGCTAAACATGGCTAGGAATAATCTTTTTGGACCAATTCCTGATGAATTAGCAGAAGTGAAAGGTCTAGAGTTCATAGACCTCTCGTCAAACCAAATTTCTGGTTTTATTCCTTTGAAATTTCAAGATTTACAAGCTTTGAAGTTCTTGAATCTTTCATTCAACAATCTGGAAGGACGGATCCCAAATGGTGGGATTTTCAAGGATAGTTCGAATGTTTTTATGGAGGGAAATCCAAAGCTATGCATCCATGCGGCTTGTCGAAAAACTCGGATGCACGGAAAGCTTTTGAAAGCGATCATTAGTACATGTGCGGTTGGTGTAATTGCGATATGCGTGATAACTTTCTTGATTCTGAAAAGAAAAGCAAGAAAGTCTATCACATCTACATCATCAAGTTCACTCCTCAAGGAACCATTCATGAATGTCTCATACGATGAGCTCAGGAGAGCTACTGAGAATTTCAACCCTAGAAATATTCTCGGCTTTGGAAGCTTTGGATCAGTATTCAAAGGGATAATAGGAGGAGCTGATGTCGCGGTAAAAGTCATCGATCTCAAAGCACACGGATACTACAAAGGCTTTATTGCAGAGTGTGAGGCTTTGAGAAATGTCAGACATAGAAATCTTGTGAAACTAATAACTTCTTGCTCAAGCATAGACTTCAAAAACACTGAGTTTCTAGCTTTGGTGTATGAGTTTTTGATCAACGGGAGCTTAGAAGGATGGATCAAAGGCAAGAAGGTAAACTCTGATGGGAGTGTTGGGTTAAGTCTTGAAGAGAGAGTCAATATAGCCATTGACATTGCATCGGCATTGGATTATTTGCACAATGATTGTGAGGTTCCTGTGGTTCATTGTGATCTAAAACCAAGCAATATCCTTCTGAACGAAGAGATGGTTGCTAAAGTTGGCGATTTCGGGTTGGCTCGTGTGTTGTTTGATGCGTCCGATGGTCGTTGTCAAGCTTCTATAAGCTCCACACACGTCTTGAAAGGCTCCATTGGCTATATTCCTCCAGGTTAGTTTTTTTTCTTTAGTTTATTCATTTCCAAATCTCATAATCATAAGTAACATAGAAAAATCATTACATCTAGTGTCATTTTAATGTGCGATTAGTGCTCTCAATATAATTCTGATCCAAAAATAGATGAATAATTGTAAAAATAATTACTATTAAATATGTATATGATTTGGAACATGTAATATTTAACGTTATTAATAGGTCTAGTTTAAAATTTTTGCACATTGTGTTCAATTATGTGGTATTTACATGGCAGAGTATGGACTTGGAGAAAAGCCATCACAAGCAGGAGATGTGTATAGCTTTGGAGTGATGTTGTTAGAGCTTTTTAGTGGGAAAAGCCCTATGGACGAGAGCTTCGAAGGAGATCAAAGTCTGGTAAAATGGATAAGTTATGGGTTTCAAAATAATGCAATTATGGAAGTGATTGACCCTAATCTTAAAGGACTCATGGACAATATTTGTGGTGCACAACTTCATACAAAAATTGATTGCCTTAACAAAATTGTGGAAGTTGGATTGGCTTGCACTGCATATGCAGCTGGTGAACGGATGAACATGAGAGATGTGCTACGCATCTTGAAATCGGCTAAGGGGATGCTTGTCAAAGGACACTAATGGAGATGATCTCTTTTTAGTGGAGTTTAAATAAATAAGTCTATAGTTATTTACAGTTTTTTTTTTTTTTTTTTAAATGAATTGTTTGTAATTTTCTTTGCATGTAATATTCAGGAATTTCAGTATTTCGGAATTTCATTAAAGTATTTTTCAGCTTGACAAAAAGCTGCAGCATCTTTCTTGCAAAATTTGGTTGCCCCCATCATCTTCAAGTGTGTCTTTTGGCTTGAATCATCATTAGCTTTTTAAGAAGGTCCATTAACGGAGATTTCCTCTAAATTCAGAGCATGGAAACAAAAACAGATTGCACTTAAAAAACAGGTTCATCTAGTAAAAGCAAAACTCCTTTGATCCTCACAATTCACACGCAAAATCAAACAAAAGAGGGATCAACCTTACCTGGTACAACAACAGCTTCAGAGCTGAAAGGTGACAGTCGAGCTAGACATCAGACGAATCTTGCAGGGCTCGACAGAACTAGACATGATCTCTCGATCATCAATCAAAAGTGCAATCTTGGTTGAAGCAGATGCTTTAGCTTTACACACAGAGCAAAAAGAACCCAACTGCTCCACAAGGATTTGCTCCACCAATGATATTTGTATCCTTCTCCGATGAAACACCTCCTAGATGCACCACCACGAACCACAATACACGATCTATTGAATGAGTGTTTTGTAAGAATGTGGTTCACCTGAAACATATTCATCCCACCTTGGAGATTTTTCAACCATTTGCTTAACCACTGAGTTTATCTTCCATTCTTGAAGCTACACTTGCACCACAAGTTTGAGTGACGGTGGATATTATCATTATATCATCCCTTCTTGTTTTTCGCTTCTTTTTTGGCCTTCTATCATCACTTCTTCTTTTGTTTTTATTTTTTTCCTCCTCCATTATCCCGTGTTCTGGTTTTTGAAAGCTCACTTCAATAGGAACCTCATACTTTGCCTCAAGAGAACTGTTTTTGTTTTTATCATTTTCATACACCAAACTCAATCCGCACTTCAACACCTTGAATACTCCTACACCACTTGTACCACTTGTCACCGTAAACTCAAGGGAGGCTTCCGTAAAATTGCATTTATCAGAATTCTCGTCTTCGAGACACCTTATTGAATGTGGGCAACTAATGTAGGCTATAAAAACATGATCTGACTCAATCTTGTCTTTCTGGTCTCCCTCTCTAGTCCAAATTCCTACTGGGCAAGTAAAGGGGACCCAAGACTTGTCTTCAGCTTTTATTTTAAAGGTACATGTCACCGAGAAGCAGCTGATTTGATCTTGGTTGTCAAGAAATGAGACTACAGCACATAGAGCTATTCCAGAAAGCCTCTTGTCATGCCAATGTGGGAGGAGTTTTCGTTGCAACAGAGACCCAACAACTTCATGCCCAAACCATGAAGGCACTTCACATCCAGGAAAACAAGTGCTGAACAAAGCCTCTGAGTTAAGACCCTGCAAAATTTTAAGGAAAATCATTATTGTAGAGTTTCCTGAAATATAAGAATCAGAGAGGGGTACAGAGAGCGACATGGAGATAGAGTTAGAATTTAGAGAGAGAGACCTCGTTGTAATGTTTACGAGCATCTGGAAGTAACTGGCATTTCCTTTGAGCATATGATGTGATTTCCTCCTTTGCAGCTTGCTCCAGGTTACCACAGTTGGTGAAGTTGAAAGTGCAATGGTTCTGCACGGTTGACACGATACGGGCCAGTGGTGTTGCAACATTCTTCAGTGAGCTACAGCCGTGTGCATCTAAGTACTGGAGGGTTGGTGGCAATTCTGGAACATATGTAAGCTTCGTACAATACTTCAATCCAGCCGTGTTAACTGAGAAACTTGATTGATGCCAACCGGAAGGTAGCTGATCTGATCATTTCTGCTTAAGCATAAATACTGCACTGAAGGTAACTGCGGCATTGTTTTGATGGATGTCCCATCCAGAAGTAAAATTTTTAAAGAGCTCTTGTTGATTTCTGGAAATTCTTTGAGCTTTAAACAACCAGAGAGTATCAGTTTTTGAAGAGCTTTCAGCTCACCAACACATGTCGGGATATTCTCCAGCATTTTGCAGTCCTTCATATTCAATAAGACGAGTCTCTTGAGGTTCACTACGTTGTCAGGAAGTTGACTTATCACTGTTCCGTCCAAGTATAAAGCTTCTAGATTTTCTGGAATCAATGGAAATTCCTTGAAGTTTGAGCAGTTGCTGAGGGTGAGAGTTTTCAAAGACATCAAATTCACATCTCGAAGAGATTCAAGACTTGTGCACCCTTCAAGGTTCAGTCTTTGAAGATTTTGAGCCTTTGATAATCCTGACAAGCTGCACAACTTACTTGAGTGATTGAGATCAACCCATTTTAAGACAGGCGTATCCTGTGACAGCAAAAAATATAGCCACCAGTCAGAAAAACTACACAGATTCATTTAACGCAAAAAGGCTACAAAACTATATATAAAGAGACACACCTTAACACCCTCCCAAAGTCGTTCAATCTCACTGTATGGCAGCTTAAGGTCGACGAGATTAATCGGGTCAAAATCGTTTGGAAGTTCCTCCAATGGGAATTTCAGCCAGTGAAGGCATCGGACCTCTTTCAATGGTAGCTCCAGTCCATCAGGCATGTTTATCTTATTGTTTGTTTTACATTCTTGAGGACAATGAGAATTGTAGAACTTGAGATACCGGAGATTGCATATGTTTTTGAAGTGTTCACGGTCTAAGCTTGTTTCACCCTTCACTTCAGACAAATCTAGGAAAATACCTCTGACATCGGCAGCTCCCTGATAAAAATATGTAACAACAGTAACAGAACAATATTAGCGAAGAGAAAAATAATGTAAGCTTAATCAATAAAAATCTAGAGGAACTTTTAGTTTCACCATTGTTTTCTGTTGTACATTAATTATGTCTTGCTGGAGCCACAACCTCCGTTGTTTGCTACCACCTTGAGTGGATGCTCTAAGATCAAGTTCCCTAGAAAATGTATACAGTAGATCATGCATCTCCACACGGCCGTCACAAGTATCAATCAGGAACTTATTCTTGAGAGCTTTAATTGCTTCAGCAGATCCGGGGTCAGACGAAACCAGTAAACTTTCTACATAATCCACATCCTGCGATCTGAAACAGGCTATGTCGAGAAATGCATCTTTCTGCGCCATACTCAATTCATCAAAACTTACTTGCACGACCTCTCCAATATAAGTGGTGGGACTTTGAGCGAGTATTTTCAGTTTTGTTTCCCAATGCTTCATATTTTTCTCATAAAGCTCTCTACCCAATATTTTGAGAGCTAGTGGATGGCCTCTGGCATAATGCACGAACTCATCAGAAAGCTTCATGAAATCCACCTTGGGAGTAATGGCTTGATCATCATGAAAGGCATGATAGCGAAAAAGTTGTAAACCGTCTCTGTGGTTTAACTGTCGGACCACGTAAGTGTCATGAACAAGACCCTTCAATAAGGACTTGTCGTTTGTCGCAATGACAATCCTGCTGCCATCTTTGATCCACTCATGCTTATTTTGAAGATCATATTTCCCAAGAAGAGCATATATTTGTTCCCTTTCACTAACATCATCAAGAACGACAAGAACTTTGCGTTCGCGCAGCAGACCCTTATGAGTTTTGTATGGTTCTTCAACACTATCTATTTGAGGATTATTCAACTCCGGTAGTAATTTCTCTAAAAGCAATGTAGGCAAGCACTCTAACCTGAAGTTATTTGACTTTCCACGGATTTGATCGATTAACGCATACCTCGAAAACTTTCCCTTCCATGTCTTATAGAGCTCTTTCAGCAGCGTGGTTTTACCAATTCCCGGCATCCCAACAACTCCAATGACACGAGTTCCCTTGTATTTAATAAGATCCAACTTATCTTCCAACTCCTTCAACTGTTGTTTGATTCCAAAAGTCTTATCCTTTTCGCCTTCTGCCGAAGTTCTAGTGTCGATAATTTCTGATCGATCCACAGCGACCTTTCGACTTCCCTCCGATGGTTCCACAAAGAAATTTCGGCTTCCCTTCAATGGAACTTTCTTCAACACTTTCTTAACCTCCCTAACGATTTCGTTAAGTATTTCACTCTCAGGACTGCAACACGAATGAGGAAAATAAGATCACCTAAACATATCTAACAATTGTAACCACTAAAGGTTCAAGCTTTTGGGTTAACTCTCAAACCAATTAGGCAAAAGCAGTTACCTTTTATCATGAACAGTGATGCCAATTAAGTCAGGAATCCACTTCAAAGCTTTTTTCCACTCTTTCTTCTTCAACACATCACGTTCCTCAAGATCCCTAAAAGCATCACCGAACTTTCCTCTAACACCTCTAACAGTAGATGGATCCAACTTGTAGAAGATAGGAATAGCAACAAGGTTACCTTTCTCAACACAATCTTTGATCATCGCTAGCTCTCTCAAGCACCATGTTGATTCTGTGTACTTACCAGAGAAGATAGCTAGAGCGATTCGAGACTCTTGTATCTTAGTTAAAAGTGTTTCTAGAGGTTCGCCTTTGTCTGCGTAATTGTCGATGAAGACTTTTATGTTATCGTTTTCTAAGGCTTCGACGAGATGGCTGACGAATCCCAGGCGTAAATCTTCTCCACGGAAATTGATGAATACTTGATGTTGTTGCGGTGGGAGATCGGAGGAGGAGGAGGACGAAGCCATGGCGAGAAACAGAGTACACGGTTTCGGCCACTTTCGGGTCAAATCAAATGGGGTTGTTGGGAGAAAGAGAACGAGACTTGCAAGTTGAATTTTAAAAGTCTCCATTTTTTACCAAATTAAATAATTTTTTATTTTATTTTCAAATATTAAAAAAAAAATAAGGAGAGAAAGAGAGAAAATATCTGTTTTTCAATTGACATTTTTATCTTTAAAGTTGTGTGGTGGTGGTATAATGTTGGGATTTTGGGATGAGATTTTGGGAAAATTAGCCCCAATACCATTTTTTCAAAAAGTTTAGGTCTAGTACCACTTTCTGAGCCCACTTAACATCTATACCACATTCATCATGTGAAAAGACGATTCTACCCTCCAACTTACTGAGACAAGATCCTGCGGTTGATGAGACTCTCCGAATTTTCTGTCGTCCACAGTCTCTCTCCTAACGCATTGGTAACCGTTTTCGTCCCTCTGGTAAAACAAAGTTGTCC